TAATATCGATATTTAATATAAATTAAACAAAACAATAAAGAGAGTTAATTTTAATTTTCTTTCAAAGCAAGAGTTATCACACACCAAATCACAGAATCTGTACAGTACTGAAATGGAGGGTTGTGTGTGAATTATTTAGCTGTTATGAATTTGAGTAATTAAAATTGGACATATTTATTGGTCACATAAATAGTATATTTCAGAATCCTCTCTGTTTATTCTTGGTATGGTATTCCTTTCCAGTGAATACATTATCAGCATAAATGTCATTAATAAATTATACTTTATTTATATTACTAATTTCTTTTTTTTAAATTTTATTTAAAAGGAAAAAGAGAAAAACACAAAACAAAACAAAGCGGTGTAAGGGTACAAGTATATATTACTAATTTCTTAGAAAAATTATTTTAGAACATCTTGACAGTTTCTATATTTCCTGTTTATTATAGTTCATTAAATTATAAGATATTTCAACTTTGCAAGCAAAGCTATTACTAAAACCACAAACTTCTAGAAATTCTGTCTAAATCTTGTAATGTTCTCCCAAACTGAGATAAAAAAATTAATTAACTGTGACACATACAATTATACCATCTAAAGTAAAACAGGCAAGAAAGGTTACAGTTAACATAATGCATAATTTCCCAAACAGATTCACATGTCCCTTGCAACAGAATGTCAACACATGATTGGTTGGTAGCTTACACACTGATTTAATATCTTTCATTATTGCCAAAGCAATGTTTAAAAAATCCAATTCCTAATATCATCACAAAAGATATTTAACAAGCAACTTTTATCAGCATGGTTCTCTTTAGCACTCATTGGTAAACAGCACTGCAACATAGGGATATTTTATAGTTTTCAGAGAAACACTTGGTTAGCTTACAATCTAAGAAATGTTTCTATTTTAAAGGTTTATTCTAAGGTTAAATCATTTTTCAGCCAAAAGAAGGTGAAATTAAAAAAATTATGTATAAAAAGGACTACTCGCTCTCATTAATGTCTTCCTCTGATGCTTCTTCCTGTTTAAGACCAACTTAGACTCTAAATTCCAAACACATACACACAACAACTCTGTACTTGAAATAATTTATGCACACAGCATCCAATTTACAGTTTACAGCCTAGAGAAGATGAAAAGTTAAACACTATGTTACGCTTGGATTCTGCCGATCAGACAAGTTATGTAAGACTTGAAACGGCAACATTCTGCAGTCATGCCCAGGTGTGAATGCTCCCTTTGCAGGGGCAGTATAAAGACATACATGTTTCTCATCTCCAGCTCTATGAGCAATGAAGTGAGGCTGCCCAATCTCTGATTACAGTAATGTTATTGTGTGGTGGTTTCCATAGCTGAGAAGCAACAGTTTATATTACATGGTCTATCTATTCTACATTAAAGTAACGGTGATCCTGCATCGGTCTGTATTATAGAATAGTTCTCCACCCTACAAATAAATTTTGCTACAAGCTGGGAAATATATGGCGCCTGGAGCAGCTCCTATTTGTGCCCTACACACACACACACACACACACACACACACACACACACACACACACAAAACAAATAGGTGAAAAGCAAAGCCACAATGATGCAGAAGGAACAAGACAAAAGTCAAGACTGTAAAAAGGGTTACTATTGTAGGCGTTACTGAACATAAAAGGATTATAAATGAATGTTATGAATACCTTTTAAACATATCAGAAAACTTTCATTGCCAAATTCCCAGAAAGGTAGTAACTCTCTCAAAATTGACTTGAAAAATATCTGAGTATATCTGGAACTAAACAAACAAACAAAAAAACTGAATTGGAAATTTATACTTCCCAATTCACTCTTTATAATAAAGTCAAGATCAATATACTTCACTATCAGAGGCTGAAAACAACAGATGAACAACCTTCATTAATAGACAATCAGCAACATGAAAATTACTTTCACTATGGCTGTGATGGATTTTACTCAGGAGTAAAAGATTGTTTTAACTTAACAAAACAAAACCAACTAATATTATATTGCCTACTACATGAAAAGACATATAACATTTCAACAGAGGAAAGAAAAGAGCATATTACAAAGTGCAACACTTATTTCTCCTACTCAACAATGCACCTGGATCTTCTAGTTAATGAAATAAGACAAACAGGCATTCACAAATTGTTTAAGCTTAGAGATGGCATGACCTTACACATGGAGAATATCAGGAAAACTAAAAGAACGAATAAAAAGCAGCAGAATTAAAACGTAAGATCAATATACAAAAATAGAAAAAATGTACAAAATCAATTATATTTCTATACACTGTAAAAACAAACCAAAAAATGCATTCATGGAACTGAAAGTTAAAAAACAAGAATAAATTTAACAAATAAAGTTAAACACTTGTACACTAAAAATCATAAAACACCGATGAGATGTTAAAATGGTTAAAAAGAGGATTATGCAGACAAATTCAACTTACGGATACAGATGTAATACTAGCAGTGAAATGTAGAAGTGTATTAAAAGATTTTACATTATGTCAAAACAAAGTTTGAGAAACAAAACGTCAGAAAACACATGAGCGTGATTATGCCAACATATTAAACCATATGTTAACTGAATTAAGGATGAAAGGCACTTAATAAAATACTCCATTTGTTTCTAAAAAAGATTATAACAAAATTAATTGAATACTGTAGCAAAATACTAAAGCCTGACTAAATGAAATAGATGGTGGCTGGGTTTGGTGATGCAACCTGTAATCCCAGCACTTGGGAGGCTGAGGCAGGAGAACAGCCATGAGTTTGAGAAGAGCTTGGCTACAGAGTGAATTCAAGGCCAACCTAAACTACACAGAGAACCTATTTCCATGAAAGAAAGAAAGAAAGAAAGAGAGAAAGAGAGAGAGAGAGAATATTATGACTATTATATATAACCCTGTATCTCATCAGGTGAGATACAGAATGCAATATATCATGAGGAAAGAAAAAAATGTAACTATTACTTTTGCCTGGTATCAGACATAAATAGATAATTCAAAAACTGTATCAAAAAGCTACTAATTTAATAAGAATGTATACATTGCCTACTTATAAGACAAAACCAAAGTACCACAGTTTTTGTCTCAAAAACTATTTTAATAAGAACTGAAAATAGTTCATTTAAAGAAACAATCAAAACTGCACACAGGGGGGAAAAAGTTGGCCAGAAACTACCTGAATCTAAACGAAATAAAGCATAAAATCTCATTAAAAACCAGAAAACAATCCAAACAAAAAGACGTCCCACTGGACTTGGTGGTGCACACCTATAATCCTAGTACTTGGGAGGCTGAGGTAGGGAGACTACCCTGTGTTTGAGAACAGCATAGGCTATACAGTGAGCTCAAGGACTGGACTGCCGAGTGAGACCTTGTTTCAAAAAAGAGAGAGAGAGAGAGAGAGAGAGAGGAAAAAAAAAAGACATCCCCTGTAGTCATAAAGCTGAATACCATCAATTGTTCTAAGATCAGCAAATAAATATAATGTAATCTTGATGAAAATTCTAAAAACTTTTTCTAGACTTGGAAAAATATAAATCTTAATGCTTCCAGGCAAAGTAAATGATAAAATTAAGAAATGTATGAAAATGTAGAATAGCGAGACAAAACTGACTAAACAATATTGCTGAGGCATTTAAAAAGGTTTTTATTTTCCAAGAAGGAAAATATTCGGACATGCATATCTGACACTGTATAATGTATTAATGAAATACTGAAGAAAAAAAATCTATTCATAAGCAATGTTTATAAAACAACATACATTTAAAAAAATCAATACAACTAAAACTACCTATTTTAACTGAACACATTATAAATAAACTATTGCTAATGAGAACTGAGTAGTTGTTAAGCACCATATCATAATAGCTTTATATATGGCATTATTCTTTCATAATCTTGTTAACTGCATCAAAAAGCATCAGCTCTATGAAGATAATCTGAGAAATGAAAAACTCACTCAGGATTATATGTCTGGTGACCAAAAAAGGGGCAGTAATAGGAAAGTAAGGAAGAAGTAATAGGTTAATAAAAAAATAACAATCAGTATTTTAAAAATTCTGCATCATAATAGAAAAAGAATTCTACACACATCTACATGTTAGTCCATGCCCTTCTCACATTTAACAAAGCAATTGTGTCAGTATCCCCAGAAGACATATATGAAGCTAAAAACAGGAAGAAGTACAGCATTAAGTTTTAAATTATTCCTTCTCTTCTTAAATATTACAATTTTCTCATGATACAGAGTCAAGGCTTTTCTAAGAACCTGATATTATTTTTAAAAAAGAATCAAATTTCACAATCCAAAAGTTAAATTGCAAGTGGTTACTGTTTTAGTGAATACTCAAGGAGGAAAAAACTAGAGAAGATAAAGAATACGGTACACATGATTTATCTTTCAACTCATGATACTTTAGTCCATAAAAAAGGCACAGCAAGTATAAACTAGGAACTGCTCAACCCAAATTCAGACATAGTCACTTTAGTTAAGGTACTTTGGCAGCTGGTTCCTTGCTGTGATAAGAGCAGGTATTATTTTTGAACACTGTGCTAACAAGAACTCCAAAATAAAAGGCTGGCTTACTCAGCATCCCTGCATGAGTGCTTTGTACATAGCAAGCACTCAATAAGTAACTGCCGAAGGAGTAAGTTCTCTTAAAAAAATTCTGTGCTTATACAATATAGTTTGTTTGAACATTATGAGCTCAATTTGTGAACACGTAAAAATAATTAGTTCATACATGAAAACATTTAGAAAAAAATAACATCTATCTTTCTGTATGTAGAAGTTAGGTGACAGATTAGTGCAATTCAAGCATAGCATTAAGTGACAGTGAAACTGTATGTCTAATTTTGTCTAATAATGAAAACAAAATTTTAGCTTGCAAAAGTAGTTACTCATTTTTAAATGTTCTTCTAGACATAATACTGAACCAACAGCAAAAGAAGACAAACATGCTTTCATTTTTTTACCTGCACAGCCAAAAGCCAAATGGTATCTGGAAGAGGGGCTGAACTTAACACAGCATACATTAGCCTTTGCTTCAATGCTTGCCACTGAATTGTCTAGGTTGGTAGACCACAGCTTCACTAAGGGAAGGACAAAAACGACATAAGTAAGTAATACTTAGTAAATGCTTCTATACTTTGGAAACTTTGCTTGTTACTACAGGGATCTTTTTGTACCAGTCTAAAACATCGAAAACTATTTAAAAATGAATGTCTGATTAATAACTTACTTGAAAATAAAAGTTTGAATGTGAAAAAATAGCATAAATAATCAATGATTTTATATTGAGAAGTAACACAAGCCCACAATAAAACATACAAAGCACAGCACTATTTGGAGCTATGTTGTATATTCATTATATGTATATTCACTGCAGCATTCTTTAAAACATGTGTGACGAAATTAAAAATGGTGACATAAAGAACAACAGCAAAATATAGCCTCTCTGGACTCAAGAAGCCTGGGAAAAAAACAAGTTGGTGAAGAAAGTAGCAGCTCCTGGAAGAAACCATAAATCAGCATGCAAAAACAGCATGGGGTTTACCTGGGAGTGCTCCTGCATGGTCAGTTAGGGATGAAGAAGAAATTCAGCACAGAGCTTGCCATATTTGAGTGTTTAACCAGAGCCATTTGGGTGAAGGGCTAATTGTTTGAGACTGAACTGCAGAACAACTACATTTCAGGGTTTCTGAAATCACTCTACCAGAGATTGGGCAGAGATACCATAAGAAACAGTGGTGTACAAGGTGCAGGTTAGATATGGAATTCCCCAGAAGTATAAGCTCAGGCCAGGAAGGACACTGGTTACAGTTAAAGAGGTTTTCCTATAAAATGAGAAACAAAACAAAGATGTTCACTGCCACTACATCTGTTTAATATTGTACAGAAGTACAATTACGGACTGTTAAATTAGATAAAAATTAGTACACAGTTTGTGAAACTGAACTCTCAAAGAAGTCAGTGAAAAGTAGTGACACCAAAATTGTGGCTGGAGGCACATCTGAAGAAGGCAAAGCCTTAAATATTAAAAATATAAACTCCGTGTATTGGCCCATGCCTGTAATCCCAGCACTCTGGAGGCTGAGGAAGGAGGATTGCAGAGTTTAGAGTTAGCCTGGGCTACAGAGTGAGTTCAAGGCCAGCCTGAACTATATAGGAGACCTAGCCTCACACAAACAAACATGTGAAGAATTAAAATCATGATGGCAAGACTTGCATACTTCCCTAAGGAATGAATGCAAATTTGAGATTATACTGTAATTGCTACCACCCAGGCCATCAAACCCAGCTATACTTCAGGCACCGGGGTGAGTGACAAGAACACCTCTGTCCAATCCTTCCCCCAAATACTTGTTTTAGCAGTCATAGATAAGCCCAGGTTAATGATGCCAGCCATATGCCCTTGCTAAGTACCCTCCTTCACTAGTAGATCAATATACTTAAGTGGCTACATTTGTAATCTTACTGGTTGATTATAGTTTGACCCACAATGTATCCATCACATGATTTTATACCCACCTCCTGATTTTGCCCTGAAACAGTCTCTCAGAAGCTATTCCTATTCTCCAATGAACTTTCCCACTCTTAACTACCTTTGTCCTCTGGAATTCATTCTTCAATTTCTGGGTATGCATACTTGGCACATCTGACATCTAGCAGGTTGAGAGTTACATTTTTCCTCTATCAGTATCTCCATTTACAAAAGCTTTTGTTTGCAAACAATCTGGTTCACAAACAGAAGAGTTTGACAATATTTTGCTTTTGTTTGCAAATTGCGTTGGGTGACAAACACAAGCATTGCCTTCTTTCACACACACACAAACCTGGCCATCTTTTCCAAACTCATAGAACACATTAAGTTTGTGAATCAAGGTAACACTGTACTTGAAATACTAGTTAAAGCAATCAGGCATGATAAAGAAAGAAATGGGATACCCAAAGGAAAGAAAGAAGCCAAATTGTCCTTATTTGCAAATGGTAAGACCTTTTACATAGAAGAAACCAAAAAATCTACCAAAACACTCCTAGGATAATCAAGTTCAGCAGTGTGTAACAGTATACAAAATAAAAATCAATAGCATCCACATCAATAATGAACCCACCTACAAAGAAATTAGGAAAACAATACTATTCACAATAGCTTCAAGAAAAATTACATACTTAGTAATTAACCTAGCAAAGGAAGTGAAACATCTATATAATGAAAACTATAGTACTTTGAAAAGGGATTGATGAAAACACCACAGGAAAGATATCCTCTGTATTTATATAGGCAAAAATGGCCATGCTTTCAAAATTAAAATACATGTTTAACACAATCCAAATCAAACAGCAAAAGCATTCCTTACACAACTAGAGAAAACAATTCTAACATTCACATGGAACTAGGAGAGACCGAGAACAGTAAAAGCAAGACCAGACAAGAGCAAAGGAGGGGGCACTAAAACCTGGAATTCAATTTATATTACAAAGTTACACTGAGGAAAAATGACATCACTGTACTGGTCTGTAATCCCATCAACAATGGACAAGGATTCCTTTTCCCCCTGCAGCCTTGCCAGCATTTCTATTAGGTGATTTCTGAGGACAGCCATTCTTTCTGAAGTAAGATGGAATCTCAGTGTTGACTGAATGATTCAGAGCCAGGAATGGCACTTGGGACTACGCGTTTGCCAGGCAGGCACTCTGCTGCTGTGCCATACCTCGCGATCACGAGGCCCTCTCAGTGTTGTTTTAAACACTGAAGTACTGTTCTGTCATAACGAAGGATTAACTCAGACCATAATGTTAAGTGAAATAAATAAGATACATAAGCCCAAATACCACATCATTTATATTACATGAAAACCTAAAATATAAAGAGCAGAATAAAAGACAGTACGAAGGAGGGAAATATTTTCAAATGAGAAGGTGTTCAAGAAATGAAGGGAGAAGAGGAGAAAAGGGAGAGAGAATTGAAATGCGTCCTGTACATGTACCAACTCCCCATGAGGAATATACTCATTATGTACTGCAAAGATGTATTAATAAAAAATAAAAACAAGAATGAACAACAACAAAAACATAGTACTGGCATAAGAACAGACATGTAGCCCAACAGAGCTAAACAGAATGCAGAAACCTCAGGTTCATTTGGTCACCTGATCTTACTAAAGGAGCCAAGAACATACACTGGAGGAAAAACAGCCTCTTTTACAAATGGTGCTAGGAAAACTGCCTTTGCACATGTATAAGATGGACCTAGACCCTTTTCTAACACCATGTACTAAAATAAAATCAAAATGGATCAAAGATCTAAAGTTAAAAGAAACAATCTATGGGAAATAAAATTGGTAAAGCTCTTAAAGACACAGGTGTAAGCAAGCACTTTCTGAACAGAACTCCCCTGCCAAAAAAAAAAAAGGATCATATCAAATTTAAAACATTCTACACTACAAAGAAAGCAACCAAGAGTGTGAGGAGATAACATGAAGAGTGATAAAATTTGCCAGTTACTCCTTGGAAAGACTATTATCTAGAATATATCAAGAACTCAAAAATATTAAGACTCTCCCCAAATAAATGACCCAATCAAAAACTGGGCAACTGAAATGGACACTTCTCAGAAGTACAAACAGTCAATACATACATGAAAAAAACATTTAACATCTCTGACCATGAGAAAAATGGAAATTAAAACAATACTGAAATTATATCTTACTCCAGAAAGAATGGCTATCATCAAGACATCAAATAATAACAAATGCTAGCAAGGCTGCAGGGAAAAAGAAATCCTCCTACACTGGTAGGATTGTAAACTATACAACCATTAATGGGAATCATTCTGGAAATTCCTCAAATTATAAATTTCACTTGACCTCTTTTGGGTATCTTCTGAAAGAGTCAAAGACACATCGTATTACAGTGATGCATGCACACCTACGTTTACAGCAGCACAATTCATAATAGCTAAATCTTGGAAGTGGCCTATATGGCCAGCAATAGATGACTGAGGAAGAAAATGTGGTATGTATACAGAACAGAGTACTAGCCTGCCACAAAGAAGGATAAATTCAGTCATCTATGGAAATACCTTGCACCTTGAGACCACAATGTTAAGTGAAATAAAGCAGACACACAAGCTTAAAAACCAAATAGTTCCTCTTATACAAATAAAGAGCAAAGTAAAAAATAGGTAACAGGAAACAGAGGAAGCAAGAAAGGTGATGTAAAAAAGAATCAAGATGGGTCATGTACATGTACTAACTCCCCATGATGAGTGTAATATTCATGCACTGCAAACATTACATTATATGTTATATATTATATGAATATATGTAACAAAAATATTTTTTAAAAAACCTAGTGTGAGTGTATACACTAATAAATAGAAGCATTCAGTGCCATGTGTTTGATGTTAGAATAACATACTTTGTAGATATTCCCATTTTTCAATTAAGAATTTCATATTTTAAAAATTTTAATGTAGCATTTAGTTGCATGGTTTACATATATTAAAAGTAATAAATTATGGAAATGCTAATTTTTAAAAGTATCATTTCATATTTGAAAATCTATCCCTGAAATAAAAACTCATAATATATTTGGGGAAAGCTCACTAATCAGAGCAGCACTCATTTAAAAGCAGAAATAGAAGAACGAACTGTTCTTTTGAAACACTAAAGCAAATGTATTGTTTTTAAACAATAAAAACAGACATTAGAACACACATATAAGATTTCCAAGATATAACTGCCTCCTCAACGACCGGGTCTTGGGTCCGTGGCTCTGACAGTGCTTTGTGTCAGCACGAACTCATCAGAGGTGTTTACAGTGATCTTCATTCTCAGAGGGGAACATTTACTGTGCAACACTGGGAAGGAAACAGGATTGACAACCCCGCTTTCCTTCTCCCATCTGTTTTTCACTGTACATGGGGTCCCCCTCTTATGAGGTGCAATTTATACTTAGCAAGTCAAAGCCCAAACAAACTTGCAAGCCTCAGGTAATCCATCACAAATACATATGGAATAATTAGTATAACCATATTTCACTAATTATCACTAAGCCTTTATAAACAAATGTTATTAGTGTTTAATGA